ACCATCAAATGAAAGCTGGGTTCTTTCCCCCACCCCAGGCTGAGAGAGCCCAAGAAGGTCAGCATCTCATTCATGTTTCTAGGTGGTAAACAGGCAGCCGGGACTCACGTGGTGGTGAACACATGTCGGGGATTCCTGCCGACTTGTTGCTAAGGGAACTTTTGTGAAGGTGCCCTGAATCCGTAGAATCCGTAAGCCATGCCCATGGCTTTGAAGTCCGGTGGGGTGGCTACTTGACCAGAGATGAGAGAGGGAGGCTCTCCCCAGCAGAGGGGTGAGCTGAAGGTAGATTTCCAAACAGCAGGAGCTACAAAGGCAGGCAGCGGCCCCCAAATCAAAGGACAGGATGACTTAGTGACGATGGCAGAAAGCCTGTTGGGTATACTTGGTCACAGTCACATCCGCTGGGAGCCCCAGCTCTCATCACAGCTTTGCAAACAGAGCTAAAAACCGCCTTACAGAAAAATCCTATTGTGAGGGACAAGGTCACACCCACTGTAGGTAATTCTCACGTTCCAGAACGCAAGGCCTGATATTGAAATCAATCTACGTAACACAGCAAGCGGCTACTAGATGTCAGGCAGCTCAGATACACTGGGTCTACTAATCACCAGCTCCAAAGATCGCCCCCCACCCGAAAAGGCTGTACTGCCATGCCAATGGCCCAGTGGACAGACCCAGGCTTTAGGGACAGGAAAATCCGGTTTCAAATTCAGCTGCAACATTTATCAGGTGGCCTTTATGGAGAAATCCCTGGCATCTTAAGAAAAAAAAAAGAAAGAGAGAGAGAGAATCTCCTGAGGATGGCAATGGAGTATTTTCTAGCAGAACAACAGCCAGATCTCCTGCACTTTGCTTCCCTCTGGGAGCTCGCTCTCTCTCTCTCTCATGTCTGGGCTAGCGCTGTTTCCTCTCTAATGGATCACTGTCCCCAGCTGGGCTCTCCCGACCCCTCTGGAGTTGCCAGTCGGCAAAACGGCCTTCGATGTACCTGTAGCCACACCTGTATCCACACCTGCAGGCACCTCCCTCCCACACAGATCTGGACGGATCCTGTGACTCACGGTGCCAATAAAATGGGCCAGAAGGGATGTGCTGATGGTGAGCCCAAACCTTAAGGAGGCCTGGCAATTTGCACTTTGCATTCCTGGAAGCCAGCCCCCAGAGAAAGACTCCAAACTCCCTGCTAAAGAGAAAGGCCATGTGGACAGGCCCTGGAGAGTAAGACACATGTGGAGAGAAAGGCCCCCTTGGAAGAACACCAAGGCACCAGACCTGGGAGTGAAGCCGCCATTTTGGAGTTCCAGGCCAGCTTTCCCTTGGGGACCCCAACTCCTGCCACCACCTGTGAATGCAGGACAGACACCAAGACAGACAGGCAGAAGAACCACCCAGCAGAGCCCTGTCGACCCACGGTGACATGTGAGGTAATAGGAAATGGGTGTTTGGCAACACGAAGTCTTTGGGTGGTCTGTCCCACGGCAATATCCACAGCCCAGCCCAGCTCCACATCTCTGCATCTCTCTCCCATGGCCACACCTTGAATGTCCCGGCAGCACATCCCGTGAGCCCAAAATGGGAGACCAGAAGGCGGAGAGGAGGAGACCGGGCTCAAGGGTGACCCCCTGCAGCCACCTGGTTCTGCTGGCGGACAGGGCCCCACTGTTAGCACCCCTGAGTATTGTTGGCGGCTTGTTTCCCCAAAGCTCTGGGGGGTTTCCGCGGATGCCTTCCAGAATCTTCCATGTCCCGAATTGCTTTTCTCCACTCGGTTAAGAGCAGGTCACAGGAAATTCCCGGCCCTCCACCCATCGAACCAACCACCAAACCTACCCAGCCACAGGGTTCCCTCCTCCTGCTGTTGCTCTCCTCCTCTGGGAAGCTCCACCATCCCGAGCACCCCCGATCCTTGAGGCCAGCCCTTGAGCCCACACGGTAGCACCTCTCCCGGCCCCCACTTCCTCGCTTGGGCTGACAGTTTCCTGGAGGCTGCTTTCTGGAAACCAAGAATTTGCTGAACCCTTCTACCCTTTGCTTGGAGGCCTGATCCAGGAGCTGGCCCTGGGAGCCAGGACCAGAATCTCCCCCGCGGGCCCCTCCCCTGGGGCTGGCGGGCCGCCAAGGCAGATCGCAGCTCTGCCAGAGTTAGCTCCCAGCTCCTCTCCTCGGGGTACGCTTCTGGCAAAACCAGGGCCTCTCAGTTCCCCTTTCTTCATATGAACAAGACAGAAATCCTCGCAGAGTGTCCACTTTGCATACACTGCCCTCGACCCATAGCACCCTTCCGCCAAGATGGGGCTTCTTGGTATCACTCTTGACACCAAAGGGCCAAGGTCTGCTACACCCAGCTGTGCCCCCAACCATCACACTCCTCCCCCAGGAGGCTGGTGCCCTCCATTCTGTCCGGACTGGTCTCCCCAACACTCTTCTGATCTCCATGCCCCCAGCAGGCCCAGAGCCAGGCACCTGCTGGCCGACATCCCATGGGCTTGTCCATCTCTAGACCCCCCTCTCCAGGCTCCTGGCTGCTGCACCAACTTCCAGTCTTGAAGGACACCCAGCTGCTGCTTCTCCAGACTTGCAATTTCACATACTGGTCGGTGACTCCCTTGGGAGATCTCCATTGTCGCCTCACTGAGTCTGGCTTTGAGGACTCTCCCCATCCCAAGGGACATCTACCCACATGCCCTCCAGCCCTCCGCCTGGGAGATCAGCTTGCTCACCCACAAGATGCCCAGACACAGAGGGCCTGATCTCCGATCCTCTGGAAACTGTACCTGCCTTGACCCCGAAAAGTCCCAGGGCTCAGGCCCAGCCCTGCCCCCACTGTAGGAAAGCCAGCAGCCTCCCTGTGCAAGCAATTTTCTGACTTAGCAGGAGAGATGCTCCAGGTGGGAAGGAGCCCCTGCACTCATCGTAGCCCCCATAGGCAGCGCCCACCCTTAGGGCTGCTGTCCTCAGCACGATGACCAGGAGGGCTGCACGTGGCCTCTCCCACAAGGATCCAGACCCTTCCCTCACTTGCCTTGTAGCACTTGAGCCCACAGGGCCATATTTAAAACAGACGCAGCCACAGAGGGGAAAGTTCAACCATCGGAACCGCTCAGGCAAGTCTCCCCTGGGGCAACTGCCTTCCCCTCTCATGCGTGCCTGAGAAATGGGGAGACTGCCTCCCCTTCACAGAGCTTTCGGAGGAACGGGGGCCTAGTAGGTGCTCAAGAAATGGAAGCCCCTCCCAGCGGTCCGGCTCCCACAGACGGGCACTTCCCGTGCATGTCCCCACTGGAAGTGGGTCTGAAAGACCCTTATTAAGCACCAGGGGCTGTGACCGAGGCACCCAAGACTGTCCCAGCGGATGGCTCTGTGTGTCTCTGAGGTCTGGTCCGCGCTCCCTTTTCCCAGAGAAAATAAAAGCAGAGCCCGTCCCCTCTGGTGAACACAGCCTATCAACCCACCAGCCTTGGGCACCCCCACCCCAAAACACAGCTGGCTGCCTCCAGCCAGGGGCGCTCCTCAGCAAAGACCTCCAAAGCCAAATTTCCACATCAGGATTTCCTGGAAAAAGTGTGGCCACCAGAGGAACTCTGAGACAGGAGTCCTGAGCCAGGAACCAGGAGGCTACGGGTCTTCCTAAGAAGGGATACAAGTGCTTTCTCTCACATCTGAATCCCGGGAAGGGAACCAGGGAAGCCCAGGGACACACACCTGAGCCTGCCTGACGCACACCAGTTTCTCAAAATACACAACCAGCAGGGTTCTGGAACCTACTTTTCTGCCAGGCCACGAAAATCTCTTTCAGGCTCAATTTTGTTTGAATGCTACTAATCCCTTTAGGGGGGATTTTGTACTTCTAGGAGGCCACGCTCTCGTTCTGGTAATATTTTCACAGGCTATTTCCCAGCAAACTCACCCAAAATCACTTAGCCCCATCCATCATTCTTTCTTTCTCTCTGTCCTTTTTATTTTTTTTTCTTTAAGTCCCACCCAGCAATTTCTCTCTAAACTTGCTACCCTGTTCTTTGCAAAGTAGGTCAGAGGTCAAATTATAAATAAATTCAGACTCCGTGATTTGGGAGGTGTTTCTGCAGAACATTTGGTCTATCCTTACACAGTTGTGGATAACGGCCTATTGAAGTCTGTACAACAATCCTGGGGTTGAGCAGCTTTTTACGAAAGGGGATGTCCTATGAGGTCAGTCCTCTCCCCCACTCCGCCCCCACCAAAGGACTTTTGAAACTTCGAAGCCCACTCAGGCTGTGACCATGAGCTCAGAGATTAGAGGACAGGGAGGCCTCCCAACTGTCACCCAGACAATAAACAGCCAGCCGACTTGGCTTAGCAGGTCCTTTACAGTCCTGGGGGCAGGCCAGAACCCCAGGAACAGGCCACTGTCAGGCTCTGGACCTTAGCCCTGGGAAGCCGGACCAGGAGAGGGGCGCTGCGGCACCCCTGATAGGGCGGGTGGCTGGGGCCGGTGGCCAGCCAAGCTCAGCTGACCAGCAAGTGGGTGGCTCCTAGGCGGCCAGGCAGCCTGACCCGGGGCAGCACGACCGTCCACCGGTGGCAGGCTCCGGGGCCCGATCGATGCCACTTTTTTTTTTTTTTTTTAAACTGATCCCGATCCTCCGCGTGTTTTCCCTAGCGCACGGGACTCCGCAGCCCTCGGCCGGCCCCTGCCACCGCCGGGAGCGCGCCCGGCCGCCCGCTCGCTCCAGAACTCAGACAGGCAACAAGTTGTCCTTCCTCAGGGCGGCCACGATGTGCGCGGGAGGCCCGGCACGGGGGACGCTCCGGGGGCGATCCCCGCGCTGCCCAGCCCCGAGGGGCTCCCGCTGCCTCCGCCGCCGGCAGTGTCGGACGCGCAGCGGCTGCCCCCGGCCGGCTCCGCGGCGCCCCTCGGACAGGGGCGGCTCCGGCGCCCCCGGGTGCGGGCAACAGGTACGCGGGCGCGCGGAGCAGCGCAGCCCCGGGTCTTCCGGCCCCCGGCCCTCGCCCCTTACCTCCAGCAACTGCACGTAGCTCGCCGGGAACCAGCCGCGGAGCCCGTCCTCCTTCTCGCCTTCCCACCAGCCGCCGTCCGGGACCTGCAGCAGCGTGATCAGCTCGCCCGCGGCGAAGCGCAGCCCCTGGCCGTGCCGCTCCCCGGAGAAGGGGTATAGGGTCCGGCAGCGGGCGCCGGACATGGCCTTGGAGCCCGGGCTCACAGCGCAGCCTGCATCCCTGACGAGCCCCGCGGGCTGGGCAGCGGCTCCGCGGCGTCCCAGGCGCCCGGCGCTCCGGGCTCCCGCGCTCTGGGCGCGCGCCGTCTCGGGGGTGCGCGGGGGGTCCCCGGCCAGGCGGGGAACGCGCGCTCCGCGCAGGGCAGCGGAGACTCGCAGGCTTCGCGGAGCAAGCGGCGACGCCCCCGGGCCGGGCAGCTCGCAGATCCAGCTCTGGGCGGGGGGGCGGGGCTCAGGGGGAGGAGACCCAGGCGCCGCGGGCTCCGGAGACAACTTCCCGGGGACGCGGAGCGCGGGCTGCGGCCGCGAGGGCCGGCCGGAGCCGGAGCCGCCCGGGCGCGCGGAAATGCGCAGCTCCCGGGGGAGGTGGGATCCAGAGCATCGCCGGGGGCCCGGCTCGGCGGCGAGGGAGCGGCCGGGCGTCCGCGGAGAGGGGCTGGCGGCCGGGTGGCCGAGCGGGGGCTCGCGCGGAGGCGAGGGGGCGGGGCGGGGGCTGGACCAAGGCGGCCACGCCCGCGGAAGGCTGGGCGCTCCCTCGCCGAGGGGGCAGGTCGCTGGGGAGGGGTCTCGGCGCTCACACCCCCGCCTCCGAAAGCCTTTGGAACAGAAACGCCCTTCCGCGCGGGCTTTGTGGGTCTGGTGGCAGCCCGCGGGCGGCGGGCGCCTCCTCCGGGGTGCCTGCGAGGGAATGTGTCTGCGGCAGCCCCTGTCGGGGTTGGACCGGGGGTTGAACTTGACTCACCGGAAACTGAACAATGGGTGAAGGACAGGTTTGAAGCCTGGCGCCAGAGCCGGGAGGCCGGGTGGCAGTGTGTTACACTGGAGGGACGGGGCGGGGAGGCGACGGAGTTGGGAGCCTCCTGAAGAGGATAAATGGAGGAAGGGGGAAAGGTGAGAGGAACAGCCCCCACCAATTAGCATGCAAAGGGGAGGCCGGCCCCAGGGTACCAGTCCTCCTGCAGTCCAGGCGGGCCAGGCTCTAGAGCTCTATACTCACTTAATGGGGCGACAAACTGTGGAAGGCTGCCACACCTTTCATGCAAGGAGCCAGGTAGCTGAGACCATCATCTGGACAGGTGCCTGCTCTCCAGGGACCAGAGGACCTGGATGCTGGAGAAACGACCTTGAACAGAGGGTTTAGAAGTAAAAGAAAGTGGATTTCTTCTTTGGCCTACTCTAAAGGAAAACTTCAAGTCCCATTTCCTAAGCTGTAAATAACCCGACCCTTTAATCTCCCTGCTTGCTTCAAATGGCCTCCCCTTAGTTTCTGCTCAGTAATCTTCCTTGGCTCCCTGTTGCCTATTAAATTAAGTACAGACTTCTCAGCCTTTGCCCTTCAGACTCTCCACAACACCTCCCCTAGCCTCATCTCTCAGGATGTTTGCCTGGATACCCCCTTACGAAACCATCTCGTCTTAAGGATGGGCTGAGCCTTAAGATCTCTCAGTGGTTTTCAATCCTGGCTGCCCATTGGAATCACCTGAGTAACTTCTTTAGATGCTTGTGCCCAGGCCCACCCTAGCTTTGGAAAATACACTTTGAGCCATAGTCTGCAATGAAAACATTTTACCTTCAGCTGCCTCAGCCTGGCCTCTGGCCACGGGCAAGCTGACAGAGATTGCTTATCATACCCCATCGATTGCAAATGCACAAACCATTCGCGTGGCTCGAAATGGGGGGGGAGGGACAGACTCTGAACTACAGTCACCACCGGGCATCCATCGCTTAAGGGAAAGCTGCAAAATTTGATATAGGAAGCAGTCACTAAAAGTAACGGACCTGATCAGTTAGAAGGACCTCAAATTCCCTGTATTGGAGCGGATACGTGAGTGTCAGCAGACCGACCCCAGCGTTCATATCTGATGATAAGGCCCAACTCGATTTAGGACAGCCAGTCCAGAGCCTTCCTGCAACCTCAAATCCTCCACGGTGCCTGCAAGCCACCAGCGACCCAGTCTGGCCTTTGAGAAATTTCAGCGTACACGACATCCCAAACACTCCAGCTCTAAGCGACCTGCCCCAGATGATTCTGCGACAGCAAGATTGATCATGGCTCTCTGGTCGATACCCAAGGTCAGTCTGGACAGAACTGACCATCCTAGCAGTCAGTGGATCTCCTGTCCCCGATGTCTTATGCATGGAGGAACTTGGACAACACCTAACACCCCAACACCTGCGGGGCTATTTTCCCATCCATGATTGGCATCTGAATCCAGTAGCTGGAACTTGGGCCTTGAGATGGTTAAACCCAGTAGTGGCTCAGTGTGGCCTCTCTGGCCTCCCTGTATTCAAACCTCAGCTTTGCCACTTTCTAGCTGTGTGCCCTTAGGCAACTGACTCAGCCTCTCTGAGCTTCCTTTTACACATCCGTAGAAGATGGTAGTAGTTCTATGTCATCATTATTAAGAGGAATAAATCAGTAAAAATGTAAACTATGCCAATACCTGGCATATTAAGTACTCAAATACTAGCAATTATTATCGATCTAGTCCAATGGTCCTGGTTGTTTGTCGTCTAACACCGGTTTTGAGTGAAGATTTCCGAGACAATAATAAGTGGGAAGCTATATCTTTGGGATGCCAAAAATGTTAAAGAAACACACTCTGCGTTTCTGTTTTCTCACAGGATCTTGAAGGAAAGATGAGTTTCTCATCTATTACCCCCTCCCTTGCCTTCCTCTTCCCCGATTTTTTTTTTTTAAGATTTTATTTATTTGTCAGAGAGAGCACAAGCAGGGGGAGTGGCAGGCAGAGGGAGAAGCAGACTCCCTACTGAGCAGGGACCCCCCCCCACCCCAATGTGGGACTCGATCCCAGGACCCAGAGATCATGACCTGAGCCAAAGTCACTCGCTTAACCTACTGAGCCACCCAGGTGCCCCTCCCCTGATCTTCTAGTACACTCTTAAAATTCTATTTGAAATCTTTAATTATTTAACTTCTTTGAAACTAAGGTATTTTACTGAGTGGTCTCTTAGTAACTCTGGAGGGCAAGCACATTTGTTTTAATTTCTCTCTTTCCCTCTTAAGGGCTAACATGGAGTCTTGCAAAAAAACAAGTAGGCATTTGGTACTTCCTGAATTCACTTTGCAATATGAACAGGTCTGAACCCCTGCTCGTTTTCAGATTTTCCACATTGCCAAATTACTCCCCATAAACACGTGTTAGAACATCTGGATTAGACTATAAACTCCTAAAAGCAGGCTTTCGTCTCTCTTTCTTAGCTTTCTCTCGACACTGTGCATTTATTTGTTAACTATGGGCTGGCGGGGATTTCTTTTCTATCCAAGACAGTCTTCGATGCCTTTCCATCATCAGCCTATGGATGGCAGAGAAATATCAAAGTTTCAGTTTCTTAAAAAAAGCTAAATATAAATTTGCCATCTGACCCCACCAATTCCCTCCTAGATATCTACCTAAGAGAAATGAAAACACGTAGCCACACAGAGGCTTGTCGTGTTCACAGCAGCACTATTGAGAATAGCCAAAAAGTGGAAATAATGCAACTGTCCATCAATTAATGAAGAGAGCGACAAAACATGGTAGACCCAGCCAGTAGAATATTCTTTCTTTTTTTTTTTTAAGATTTTATTTATTTATTTGAGAGTGAGAGGAGGAGCGAGAGAGAGCATGAGCAGGGGGGTGGGGGGGAGGGGAAGGGAGAAGCAGACTCCCCGCTGAGTCGGGAGCCCAACTCCCTGTTGGGGAGCGGAACTCGATCCCAGGACCTTGAGATCCTGAGATCTTGACCTGAGCCGAAAGCAGACTTGTAACCCACTGAGCCACCCAGGCACCCCCCCTTCAGTGGAACAGTCACTCGGCCAAGAAAGGCCTGGAGTACTGACACAGACTACAACATGCAGGAACCACAAAGACACCACAAAGTGGAAAAATGCCAGATAAAAAAGGCTACCTATTGTGGGGCGCCTGGTTGGGCGCTCAGTTGGAGGAGCACGTGACTCTCGACCTCAAGGTTGCAAGTTTGAGCCCCACGTTGGGTGTAGAGATTACCAAAAATAAACTAATTAATTTTAAAAAATGTATGATTGCATTTATAAGAAAATTCCAGAAAAGGCAAATCTATAAGAGATGGTAAATAGATTTGCGGTTGCCCCGGGGCTGGGGGTAAGAAGAGGGAATAAGTAAATGGTCTCAAGGTTTCTTTCTGGGGTGAGGACAATGATTGAGAATATAATTGTGGTGATGGTTGCACAACTCAGGAAATCACTGAATTGGACACATAAAACAAGGGAAGGTTTTGGTATGTAAATTACACCTCAAAAAAGCTGTTACATAAACCAAAATGTAAACAAGCCTCTATAAAGCCCTCATTCATTCGTCAAGGGTCTCCACCTCCCTTTCCGCGGCTGTGTCCTTTCATTCAACAGCAACCTAAACAGCAGAACCATTAAGCACAGACTAGGAGATGGACAAGGGGCTGGGCTTGGTGGTAGAGACACAAACATAGCCCACCGCACTGTAAATAAGGAATTCCTGTAGGTCAGTAGGAAAGATAGGGGTGAATCCTTAAAAAACAAAAGGTGAAAGACTTGAACAGACGTTTCACCAAAAAGATACCCAAAAGGCCAATAATAACGACACCTCAAAAGGTGCTCAACCTCGTAAATCATCAAGAAAAGCAAATCCAAATCCTAAACAGGTTGCAATATACACCCATGAAAATTAAAAAAAAAAAAAAAAAAAAAAACGAAATAGAAAATGAAATAAGGAGGGCGCCTGGGTGGCTGTGTTGGTTAAGCCTCTGCCTTCGGCTCAGGACATGATCCCAGGGTCCTGGAATCAAGCCCCGCATCAGGCTCCCTGCTAGGCAAGAAGCCTGCTTCTCCCTCTCCCACTCCCCCTACTTGTGTTCCCTCTCTCGCTGTCTCACTCTGTGTTAAATAAATAAACAAAATCTTAAAAAAAAGAAAAGAAAAGAAAAGAAAAAGAATAAAGTATGGGTGTATTTATAAATAAAAATGGAAATTTACAAAATGTATGGTAAATATCAAAAGAGAAAATACCACACACTGAGGAAGACCCAAGGCGGTTGGAGCTCTCCTCCGGGGCTG